TTATCAAATTTTCCATTGGTTGCACCAATAACAGAACAAAATTCACTTAATAGATAAGAGAACTACTGTCAGTGTATATCATGTTAAAAACTGAGCCTTACAATGGAGAGTAGATCCCCCTAGTGGTGGTGAGAGGTTGCAGCATTTGAACTCAATAGAAACCTCACACAAGCGGAAGCAAAGACCACATTTTTCACAACCAGAGATACATAGAAAATGTTTCCTATTGCTCTGGGACAAAAGTAAAACAAAACCATAAAAAATCCCATATAATCAATTTCTATGCAAGACTGATTTTTCCTTATTTGCATAAAATCAGAATTTTAAAATCCCTTTTTAAAAAAAGCATTTGCTTATTTTTCTCTAAGTGTGTTGAACTCATTAAACATTATTTTTAGTGAAACGTAGATCTTGAAGAATCTTTTTGGGCCTTCCTATCAGGAAGTGTTGGTTGTTAAAACTTAAAAGAAAACTCCAAACTTAAAGCCATAATTTCCTGCAATATTTTCAGCACTTAATCAGCTAAAGTCCAACCAAATATTTTGTATTTTCTGAACCTTTGATTACACCATTGATTTTGTAGATTCCAAATAACCTTGGGAAGTTCCCACATCCTCTAGGCGGGCAGGTAACACGTTCAAACGTGATCCCCGCATGCACCTCAGACCAGATTTCCTCATTCTCAGAGACTCTACTGAAGGAGTCATGTGCTGAGGCGGACTGCTCGTAAACAGCTGTTACATGCTTTAAGGTTTTACAGCCACAGTTAGCAAAGTATCATCACGCTTTGTGGAGAATGTTTAGCGTGTCTTTTTTCCTTGCATGATGCATTTTATGACCACTTAATTCATCTTTAGGGGAAGTTGTTTTATGTTCTTCTCCAAAGCTTTTTTTATTTATTTTGGAACTCACAGAATTTCACTACAAACACACAATAATGAAGTGAGACATTTTTTACAGCTTTTAAAAATATTACTTTAGTATAAAATAAGTCATGCATATATCTTTAGCACAGTTAAATCCCTCAGTTAGCTATCTGGGAAGAAATATTTCTCAACTGAAAACATTCAGTGTCATGAATACACATGTTGCAAACCAATAATATTCGGTCTGATTCACAGTTTCTCACAGAAGAAAATACACACAGCTGGCACGCATTGTACTGCTTTAGTTGTTAAAGCTCCCAGAGACTCTAAGTATAAAAACGGGAGCAAAAAATATGTGAATTTGTCTTCATTTATCTCCTTACTGATACATAGAAGCACGGGTTAGGGCTACCATGATTTGTTAATATCATGCAGCCCAAATTTGTTTTAGATAGATAGAGCACACATTTAATAGAAGCTCCATTATTATTTTTCGTTTTGTTTATACCAGATCCTCAATTCAGATGTTAACAACAAAAAAATTGCTTCTGCTATTTCTCCAGAGAAAACAAAGGACTATAACTTGGTTTCGACAAGTTCAGGAAGTCCCCCCTTACACTTCCAAAGCAGGCTTAATTATTCCAAGTACAGATTCCAAAAGGTAAAGGAAACAATCCTCAAATACTTTGTTCCATGTTGACGGGATTGGATCTTCAGCCTTAAACACATTCTCATTGTCTCC